TGTAGAACACACATCTTTTGTTTTTCCCTGGTACGGGGATTGAACTCGGGACCCTGCACTTGTCAGGCAGGCACGGTGCTACTGAGCTAAGTCCCCAGCCCAGGGCTACTTCATTTTAAGGGCTATTCTCACTGTGTTGATACTGATACAAAGCGGTGCCAGGAGGGTTCTTCCTTGAGAAATGATGTATTTTAAGATGCAGCAACACTCATCAAGTGGCAAACAAACAAGTTGGAGATAATCTTTAGCAATCCTGAAACAGTATAGATTAAACTTATTCAAAATGTATTTGAAATCAAACTACAGGGTCTTTTTTTTTTTTTGAAAGATCAGATGGAAAGCAGAAGCAGGACAGTATCTCAAAAATCTCTATGATCTATTTACAAGAACCATCTATCTTTCCAGCAAGTTGAAGGAGTTTAATTTGGTTACCGATACAGACTTTGTGTTAGCTTATCAGATACATTTTTATTTCCTATTTGGAGAACTATATTGAGGTGCAGACTGGTTTTTTGAAAAGCAGAAGTGCTATGATCCTGTAATGCTAATATGATTCAAAAAATAATCAAAAGAGATGCACTGGCACAGGAGGTAGTCAAGACTTGCAAGAGAGAATTAGCATTCCAGTTCACCACTGGGGCCAAGTATTGCTACACATGGGGAGACCTTCCCATCCCAAGAAGTGCTAGTTCATCTTTCACAAGAAACCAAAGAAGCCTTTGAAAGATGTCACAGGATCTTTGATCTTTCTGATTTACCAAGGAATGCCTTTAGAATTTTTATCATTCTTGTGGAATTTTTATGTATTGAACATGTTGATTATGCTTTGGAAATAGGTGTTGCTGGAATCCCTCAGGTTCTAAGAAAGCAAATCTCCATTTTTTGGATGTTGTGCAACAGGCAGATATTGTTTTCCATTTTTTTGACAAGCAGTTTAATGATCATATGTTACTAGGAAGCTCTTAAATTATCTAAATGCCTTCAGAAGAAAAAAGTAATAAATGAACAAATGGAGATGAAACTGGATACTGGCATCGACAGAACATTAAATTGTATGATTGGGCAAATGAAGCATATTTTGGCTGACAACAAAAGAAAAGATTTTTTTGTTTTTGTTTTTGTTTTTTGAGACAGGGTCTCACTATGTAGTTGAGACTGATCTGGAACTCATTATGGAGCTCAGGTTGGTCTCGAACTCAGCGATCCTCCTGCCTCAGCCTCCTGAGTGCTGGGATTACAGGCATGCGCCACCACGCCCAGCAAGAAAACAGATTTAAAGCCAGAAGATGAAAACAAAGTTTTAATCCAATATATTAATGCCTGTGTAAAAGTCTGCACTTATGTAAAAGAAAAGCAAGTGGAGATAAAAAATTCCATGGACTGGAAAAATGTGGATCCAGTTTTGATGGAACTTGGAGTACATTTTCATTGACTTATTTATGAACATTTTCAACAATATTCCTATAGTTGTATTTGTGGCATGTTAGCGCTGAATGGAGTCTGCCCAAGACTTCAAGATGCCAGCTGTACACATCATTTTGATACTCTGCATGTACTTGAAACCTTCTTGTAGTTGCAAAGTCTGCTCAGGAGAATTTGCTAATCTGGACAAGAACATACTTCATTCCTTCATATAATTTTGTGCTGACTACAGATCTGGCCATCTTGCTTGACACTTCGGCTGAGGTTAAATTTACAAAGGAAGTGTGTTACACTGCAGCAGACCTCAGTTGATAGCACAGGAGGTCCCTTATAACACAGCCAACATTTTCTGCAAAAATGACTGGAAGAAAACAGCAACCATACTTACCCTTGAGGTTTTATTTGAAATTTGGACACCACTAGCTATATTTACTTTTTTCCTGCCAAACTGAATTTTAATTCCATTCTTGAATTTGTAAATTTGAAATTCTGTAAAAATACATGTCACTGTTTTTTATTCTGGAAAATGTGGTGTCAGAAGACGACTGAAATTTTACCAGTGTTCTGGTTCTAGTTCTTTAACATATTTCATCTGGAAATTTTACCATCCCATTTGCATTAGCAGTAGGCAAAATACAAGAAAACATTTATTATTCATCAATTTAAAAATTTCAGTACAGGTAATTGCTAAACAAATTACTGTAGATTTTTCTAAAGAGTTTGTGGACTCAAAGGTTAACAAATATAATTTCTGAAGTTTTGTTGATTAGAATTTTTTTCTGATACACAATAATTCCAAGAAAATGTTTTAAACTAAAATGATGAAATGTTTTATGCAGATATTAGGGGTCAATCATAATACATTTGCTTTCTGGGTAAAACTTAAAAGTTTATTGTTTCTTATTTGCCAAGTAGATTTTAAGTCAATTCTAGTAAGACACTGACAAAACTACCTTTTTTTTTATATTTTGCCATTGATTTCTACTTTCATTGTTCTAAGATCTGACAGTATACATGAGATAATTTCAGGTTTTGGGGCATTATTTAAGCAAGCTTTCTGGGCTGTTATGTGGTGTATTTTGGAGAAAGTTCCATGTGCTGCTGAGAAAAATGTATTCTGTGGTAGTAGTTTCAAACACTCCATAAATATCTATTAGGTCCATTTGTTCAAAGATGTAGTTCAGCTCTGCTATTTATTTTTTGTCTAATTGATAGACTTGTGACAATGGGATATTGGGGTCCTCCATTACAATTTTGTTGATGTTTATTTGATATTTTATGTCCGGTAGTGTTTCTTTTGTAAGTTGCATACATTGGTATTTGGTGCATATATATTACAACTGCTATCCTGTTTAATTGTTCCCATAACTTATGTACAGAAACCTTCTTTGCCTCTTCTGATCAGTTGTAACTTAAAGACCTTTTTTTTTTTTTTTCTTAGAATACAATTGGTATCCTTTTTTGCTTTTGGGGTCCTGATACATGGAATATTGTTTTTCCTCTTTTGCTTTTTTTTTTTTTTTTTTTTTTTTAGAAAAGGTTTCACTGTGTAGCCCAGGCTGTCCTCAAACTCACAGCAATCCTCCTGCCTCAACCTCCCAAGTACTGGGATTATAGGTGTGCACCACCACACCTGGCAATCCTTTGAATTTTTAGTCTGTGAATTTCTTTTTTTGATTAGGTGGATCTCTGCTATGCAACAAACTGTTGGTTTTGTCTTTTGATTGAATCTGCCAATCTATGTCTCTCTCTCTTTTGTTTTTTTGTTTTGTTTTGTTTTTTTGAGACAGGGTCTCACTGTGTAGTTGAGACTGACCTGGAACTCACTATGTAGCCCAGGCTGGTCTCGAACTCACAGTGATCCTCCTGCCTCAGCCTCCTGAGTGCTGGGATTACAGGCATGCACCACAACACCCAGCTCTTTCTTCTTTTGTGTGAGATAGGGTCTCTCTGTGTAGTTAAAATTGGCATTGAGGGCCAGGGATTTAGCTCAGTGGTGCTGCTGCCTGCCTCACAAGTGGAAGGTCCCTAGTCTGATCCCCGGTACCAAAAAAAAAAGATTGGCATTGAACTCATTCTGTAGCCTCGTCTGGCCTACAACTTCAGGCAATCTTGCCTCAGTCTCCCAAGTGCTGGGCTTATGGGCATGAGCTACCACCCCCACTCCAATCTGTGTCTTTTAAAATGAGGCCATTTATGCTGAGAGTTATTACTGAAAGATAGTGACTTATTCCTATCATTGTGTTATTCTTCTGTTGTTGATTCTGTTATCTCAGCACTCTGGGAGGCTGAGGCAGGAGGACCACAAGTTCAAGCCCAACTATGTCAACTTAGCAAGACTCTGCTTCAAAAAATAAAAAAATACAAAAGGGCTGGGGATGTTGTTCAGTACAAAGACCCTAGGTTCAATCCCCAGTACCATTAAAAAAACAACAACAAAAAAAACCCAAAACATGCCTTACAGGTACAAGGTCCTGAGTATGATCCCTGATACAAAAAAAAAAAAATTACAGATCACTGTTCTTTATAAGTACAAAAATCTTCAGCAAAACAGCCAATCAATTCTAGGTATATAAAAAAGGATAATGCACCAAGACCAAGTGAAGTTTATCCTGAGAATGCAAGACCAGTTCAATATTAAAAAATCGATTAATGCAAGACCAATTCAAGATTAAAAAATCAATTGATGCATTCTACCATAGTAATAGCCTAAAGAATTAAAAAAACTATATAATCAGGTCAACAGATACAGAATAAAAAGTGACTAAAGTCAGCATTAATTCATGATAAAAATCTTTCACCAAACTAGGAATAAAATTTCCTCAAGATGATAAAGAGTATCTTCAAAAAGTTTATAGTGATTACTATCCGTAATGATGAAAGGCTGACTGTTTTCTACCTAGGACCGGTAACAAGGCAACTGTGTCCATTGTCACCCCTCCAGTCCACCACAGTCCCAAAAGGCCCAGTTAGTGAAATGCAGCAAAAGAGAAGTAAAAGGCACAAAGACTGGGAAAGAAGAAACAAAACTGTCTCTTCTTGCAGATGAAAAGGTTGTCTACATAGAAAATCCCAGGAAATCTTCAAAGTTCCTTAAAAAAGTGAGCATAACAACGTCATATAATCCAAGGTTAATGTAAAGGTCTACCCTGTTTCTCTATTCCACTGATGGCAAACATTTTAGAGCTTTCAAGAAGCAAACAGCCCACTGTGACACACTTGCGGTAAGTTCACCACTACTGCTATATACTATCAATATGCAATTGAAATCATAATTATGTGTACAGGATATAAGCTTTAAGTCAGACTGATTTCCTCTAACTCTGACACACAGATAGATAAAAGATTATTTTTTTCAGGTAATCCACAAACTAGATAATTGATTCCAGGTAATCCATAAGGTAGATAATTGACAATTACCTGGCAATCCATAATTGTCAATAACCTAGTTTATAAATTACCTTGAAAAAAGTTACTGTCCCCTGACATAAATATTTATTATGCCATAAAGAATCCTTCCTTCTCAGAGTGCTAACAGCATGACACAGACGGAGGGCAGGTCAGTCTCCTTTACTTACCACTTTGGACTTTCCCTGGGATGTCAGGATCTTCTTCCTCACACAGCTCAGCACTTTGTAGGAGAGCACGGATCTCTGGGTGCAGGTCATCCACATTTGCTTCCCCTGAAGCCAAGGCTTGGCAGTGCAACACTAAGGCAACATCTCGGTTGTAGAGATGAAAATACCGACACACTCTACTTGCCTCGTGCACGTGGCCATCATCCAGGAGGCGCTCAACCAGAAAGTTCAGTGATGCCAGCTCCTTCCTGTCTAGTCTACTCTCACAAGTCCCTGTGTTTGGAAGGCCATCAAGTTCCAAGTATTTAGGTGTGTTCAGAGCAGCCAACTTGCAGAAGGAAAACTCACTGGCTAAGCTATCAAAGGAAAGTTCACCACTAGTTGAGATCTGTGGAGAAAATCTGGGCTCTGCCTCCTGCCGCTGCCCTCGGAGGGTATGCTGGGTGATGCGGCACACCCAGATCTGCTTCTCTAGCTCCTCCAGCTCGTCTAAGGGCACCGGGTCCTCCTGGGCAAGCCAGTGCCCAGCCAGGGTGAGCAGCAGGTGGCGCTCCTCAGTGTTGCCTCTTCCAGCTGAGTGATCACAGGCCATATGGGCCTGGGAGAAGAAAAAGGAAGAAGCTGCTTTGTTTGAAATGGAATTCTTCTTAAAATTCTCGTGGCATTTTCTCCAGAAGTCAATTCTTGCTTGTTTCAGGGACCACTGTTCAATGTGCTTTAGTGCCTGCATTTCCTGTGTTATCTGTGAAATTTAACAAGCAAATTTTAGCCTTTTCAGATAATGAAGTATCATAAATGTTAATGCTTAAGTACACCATAACTGCTAAATCAAATTAAATTCAAGAATATAGGACCTATGAAGTTCAAAAGGAAGCTACTTTATATTTAATTCTATTCAGAGGAAAATAATTGTAGCATATCCTGCAGACTATACTTACTTTCTTCAATAGTGAACATCCTACAGCTCATCCATTTCTGGAAGTAATGTGGCTGTCAAATGTAAAAAGGAAGTCAGGTGTGGTGGGTCACACCTGTAATTCCAGCTACCTGGAAAGCTAAGGCAGGAGGATGGCAAGTTCAAGCCCAGCTTAGGCAACTTTGGGAGAACTTATCTCCAAATAAACTTTAAATGGATTGTGGATCACCTAGCATCTGTGGGGCCCTAGTTTCAATCCCCAGTATTGTAAGAAAAAAACAGAAAAAGTTAAAAAGCCTCATCTATTATAAATTATATCTCATTCAGTTCTCTGTAACATTGCTTTAAAAACTACGGTTTGGACTGGGGATTTAGCTCAGTGGTTCCGCCGCATGCCTCGCAAGTGCAAGGTACCAAGTTCGATCCCTGGTACCAAAAACAAACAAACAAACAAAACAAAAAAATTGAATAACTTAAAAAAATAAAAATACCTCTTCAATAACCAAGTTGTCCACAGGTAACTCAGCTAATTCTGCTATTCTCCTGGCCAAAGCAAACTGTCCATCTGTCTGCAGTCTTTCCAAAATAGATCTACATTCATGCTGAAATTTTTCAGGGCTGTAGCTGGTAATAATTGTATGATCAATGGGTATGGATGTATCCTTCAAAATTTGGCTAAGGACACACAGCTTCTTTATATCTGGATCTGTGCCAAAAAGAAGAGGCTATAAATATTTAACCAATAAAACATTGTTACAGTATTTTATAAGTAATGAAATATTAGGGGAAAATAGATCTGTTTAACAATACTAGTGTGATAAAAAGAAAAACAAAACCACATTTTTCTATTCTGATTGACTAATAGAAGCCATATGGTAGTTCCTACATACTGAAGATGCCAAAATCTGGCCCTGCAAAATCCTTACTAGTAAAGTCTGGTTGAACTTACTTTCTCTATACTAAGAACTGTTGAAGATTAGCACACAGACTCAATCTATACATCTGATTTTGGATACAGGGCACTGATCAGTGGCCTAAAATGTAGTAGGTAGTAATTTAAGATGCTTTTAGCTCCTTCCTCAGGCTAGTCCCATCTCTTTCTATATTTTTCTTTGACTTGATCAAATTTGCTTGAATGATTAGTCATTTGTTTATTCAATGCAGGCATTATTTTGACTGAGACAAAGAAAATGTAGGACAGTTGAAATTGCAGCTGGTCACTAGCCTAGACTTTAACTTGGCACACTATTTTCAGAAATGGAGCATCATTTGCTTGCTACTGACTTAGCACAAGGAAACCCAGTGAGTTTACTGAAAATTATTATCTTAATAGTAAGAATTCTCTTGCCAGGGATTTAGCTCAGTGACCCCATGCCTGCCCTGCAAGTGCAAGGTCCTGAGTTTGATCCCTGCTACAAAAAAAAAAAAAAAAAAAAAAAT